CACTCTCTACAACTCCCTGACAGCAGGTTGTAGTCAGGTGGGGGTTGGTCTCTTCTCCCAGGCAACCAGCAGTAGGACAAGAGGGCATGGTCTTAAGCAGTGCCTGGGGAGGTTTAGATTGGATATTAGGAAGAAATATTTTATGGAGAGAATAATCAGACTTTGGGGTGAGCTGCCCAGGGAGGGGTGGATTCACTGTTCCTGGAGTTTTTTAGGATGAGATTGGATGAGGCACTTAGTGCCATGGTCTGATAACCACAGCAGTGTTGGATCAAGGGTTGGACTGGATGAACTCAGAGGTCTTTTCCAACCCAGTTGATTCTATGATTCTATGATTAAGAAGGAATGAAGTATCACTGAAAATAAGACAAAGAAAAATAAAATCATTACCTAACTTTAACAACATCTTCTTTTTAAAATGTCAGTATTTCATGGCAAAACCCAGTTCACAACAGAAATGTTTAGCTTGCCAATGTATTGAAAGAATCCCACTACTCCACTTAAAAAGAGGAATGGGATAAAATCCAATGAAAATTTAGATGTCTAGCTCCTTAGGACCCCTTGAAAGACTAAAGGTGGTATCTACTACGTAGGCTGAAACTGTCAAGTGACAAGATAATTGTCCATCAAAAGGTGAAATAAGCCTTGTCTGATTATATCTCAGGTCCATCTGGATAAAAGCTGGTGTCCTGCCTACAAAAGCTAGCTTTCCTCTGTCCCTACTGCAGATAGCCAAACATTACCCCTTGCAACTTCTGCCTTGATTAGACATATGAGAAATATGGTGCTTTCCTTGGAAAAAAAAAATAGAGAAAAATAAACACTTTTTGGACCACAGAGGACCAGCTTATTTTGCATATCAAGAAATTATTTATTCATGAGAAGCTGTGGGCTATCTGCAACAGTTCCCTGCTGTTCACCAAAGAACACTAGCAGCAGGTTATTAATAGGTCCCCTTGCACAGCAGGAGGTCTGCTGATCTTGCTGTGGTGTTACCTCTGCTGAGTTTAACTTAACCTTCAACCTTTGGATTTCTATAATCACTTGAAGAAGCCTGCAAGCTCCAGCTTCAACACATAGGCGCCAAACATAAGAAAAAGCTCTTCTGGGGTTAAGTGATAAACCAGCCTTCCTGGACTCATAGTTGTCAGGATCATCCTAGAAAGATGACCCCAGTGTCACTTGAGAAATACTATCCGGGTTCTACCAGCATGGCAGACCCATCATGTTTGCACCATCTTCGTCACTGCTTTCAGTACAACAAGATAAGCAACGACAGCCTCATTTTTTACATGCGTAGTTGGTTGGAAATTTCATGCTGTGTGCTATTGCACAATATTGTGAATGGATTTTGACAACAAAGGAAATAATGCTGTGGACACAGCACAGAAAGTAGGGAAGAAAGAAACATCAAGCCTTGCTTGAGTGCTTCTCTCTTTATTTAAAGGGCTTAGCTTTTCAGGGCTTAAAACTTAATTCTGCATTAAGCATTTCTTGCAACATGCAACAGTTGTTGCAAACTTGCTATTATTCTAGGTGCTGTATGATGAAATATTCCACTGGACCTTCATTTCTAGGGAGGCAGATGGATTTTCAGGGTACACTGCTATAGTGAATCAGACGTACAATGGTAAGAAAACTATGGGAAATGCTTTACATTTCATATTTCCTATTCACATATTCATCTCAATTTGAGACAGAAAACATATTTTAGGAATGCAATTTATTTTTTTAGTTTCTATGAATTCTAAGCACTCTTATACAACCCTGATCCACTTAGTATTATTTCTTCAACTGGATCTAGTCAAATAAACCAGATTCATGTGGAAGGTCACAGCTTTTAGGGTCAATTTTTATTTATATTTGGGTTTCTTCAAGTAAAGGTTCTTAAAACTGTGACAACTTAGTGGATTACTTTAACTCCCTTAAACTTTTATTTCCCAGAGGGTATTACTCTGATGGAAATGTTCTATCAGGTTCTACTCAGTGGTCTAACAGTAGAAAAAAAAATCCACAAGCAAAAGTATCTCTCTTCCTGCCTAGTCAACACACAGGTAACAACATTCACCTGGTAACCTAAGCCACCAAACACACTGACTTGATTTAGCAACACAACTGATTTCTTAAGGTGTATGTGGCTTCAGACACAATCTTAACACAAAATCATGGGGAAGCACAGTTCAGCAGAGACAGTGACAAGTGAAGTTTAGAAATCCAGGACATGCTTCTGGTGTGATCACTAAATTTTTGAGCAAAGGGTTTAATCTCTCTATGGCTTTATGTCTCTCCTGCTATTCTTCTCTCTTTTTATTAACTCTCTTCTGAAGTGAAGCATTTTCAGAAGGGTTGGTTATGTATATTTATAGCACCTAGTACAATATTGACATACTTCTGTTACAGGCTTTCATAAAAATATACTGCAGCACTGGAGGTGTTCATAAAATCTCCTGTATGGTTTGCTGGACTTGGCTGCAAATTTCTCACATGCACATTAAAGAACACTTTAGAGGGAGTCCCACTTACCTTACCAGGAAAAGCCCCTTCTAACTGATACATGAATGAGGTTGTCAGTGAAGAATGCAGGAGGAATGGCGGGCAGAATTAAAAGGTCAGAGAGTCTAGTCCTTCCTCTCTACCCCCCCTAGCTTCTGCCTACCATCCCTACTATGTCTGGAACAACACAGTACCTGGGGGATGATAACAGTGGAATTACAGGAATGAGAGTCAACTAAGAGGAATATTGGAGGAGTGTTAGAGGAAAAGTTGGTACTATTCTCCAGTTCCCCTACAGACTAACCCTTCCACTGTCTCACTTGGTGGCTTAGTCTCCAGAACAGCAAATCATACCAGATAACTGCATAGGCTTGGTTTGGTTAATCACACATAGGTCTTTGCATTGTTCAGAGGGAGCTTTTTATATTGCATCACCCTCTCTGAATTTACTAGAAGAGACTAGAATATGGTTCAACAAACCATATATACCGTGTTAGGCAGGATTTTAGCAGCTGTTCCCAGAAGGAGCTTATGAATGTTTTCTTAAGCCCCAACTGAGAAGTGGAATGGAACAAAAATAGTCAACTGACTTTTTTCATTTTCTGAGAAAGGAAAAAAATTGTTTGCTCGAATGTAAATCTATATGGGCTGCAAGAAAGAAATGTTTTGTTTTTCTCTCAAAACATCATATACTTACAGCTAAAAAAAAATAAAACTCCATTTTCAATCTGTAGCAAGGATTCATTACTTTAGTACAGCTGAATCTTCAATAAACAAAAAATGAGAGACATGTTTTGCTTTTGACCGAAACTTTTTGTCCCTGAGGAAAATTCTTAAGGACACTGGGTAGTCAGCAAGGCAGAAATTTTTATTTGGTTAGTGAGATTTCAGTCAACATAAAATGAAAACATTTTTCAGCTTGGCTGGTATATCAAAATAAAAATCTCTGTTAATTTGCAAGGATGAGAAGTTTCACTATGAGACACTCAGTTACTAGTGAATCCCATGTCAACTATGGTTGGTCATATACAAACTTGCAAGCTAAAAAATAAAGTACTTGCTCTGGAATCTGGACTCCAGTCTGCTAATTCACAGCAATATTAAGGGGGCCTCAAAGGACCTGTTGTGACTACAGTGAGGATCTAAGTGTGAACTGAAGACAGTTCAAATAAAAAAATCTCATCAAATGGCAAACCAGCCATATAGGAAATAGATGCAATAGATGAAAAAGGGAAATATATGCCCTGATGCTTTAATGATGTAGCCTCAGCCAGCTCTGAACACCCCACCAAGATGGGACCCAGCCAACATGGCAAAAAAGCAACATCCACTATTTCTGACTTTAGCAAGCACATGCCAACCTGGGTGTTCCCCATGCCCAACCAGCCAGCTGCTGCCTGTGGCCCTTATCTCTGCTCTGCTTGGCATGAGACAGGAGCTGTCACATTCCTGCCCTCCTAAGCCCAGCACAGGTGCAGGACGTGAGAGGGGACTGCTGCTTGTCGGCTGGCAGCTGAGGTCCTGCTGTCTACCTAACATAGGCCTGACACCACCTCACATCTCGGAACAGACAGGACACGGGTGACAAAGAGCCAGGTTCAGAGCCAGAAACCACATTTAAACTTTTAAACAAATATTTACCCAGATATAATGACCTTTAAAGACCAGTTAAGGCTGGCTTGCACAGAATATTTGCATGCATGACTGCCATCGGCTTGAGAAACACCTTTTAGTTGCCTTGTCTAAGAGAGAGAGTGTTCTCGGAACTACTGCAACCGTGTTTATTTTTAACTCGCACAGTTCAATAATCAGCTACTCAGAGCTGGTGGGTAGGAGAGTGACAGTCACAGCAGCCATCAGGACTATTTATTAAGCACTTTAGAGCCTGGACCAGCACGGGCTGGTAAATACATGAAGTACTGTAGCACCCACTCTTCAGGTAGATGTGAGGCTGACCTAGATCATCTCTGTGACAGCTGAACACTACTCAGTGGCAGGAATGAACAGTACAAAATGCAGCATTTTGGGACACTTTTACACTTTCTAGACAGCTGATCATGCTCCCCATTGCCTCCTGCCAAGGTCTCTGTGTGTTATTTCATTCTCCTGCCCTCACCTCACCTCTGGCCTATCCACATGATGTCAGCACTAATAATGAGCATGATTTCTGTCTGAGGTAGGAGCTGTGCCCTGAATTTCCAGTCTGTACCTTGCACCACAGGACACCATCATCATCTTCAGAAATACAAGACTAGTAAAACCCAGAATGGAAAACAAATGGAGTTCTACATGTGCAAGTAGGACTGGCTAATCAATGCAAAAAATACAGAGCCAAAGAAACATCTAAAAAACAACAAGAAAAAGAAATTTTATGGAGGAGGAAACCATTTATTGCTTCAGTGTATTACAGTTTTTAGCACATGCTAAGCAAGCGTTATATGTCCACAGGCTCACATGCAGCTTTTTGCAGGAAGCACTCTGCTTTGCTAGAAGATAAAGTGGCAGTTCCTGTTTGCAAGTCCAATTTACTTACAAGAGCTGAATTTATCACCTATCCATACAGCTTCATCACTGCTTTGATCATTAACTGTCCTGGAAACAGAAGAAAGGCACTGAGGAAAAAATACCTAGACCTTATAGCCCATCAGTTTCAAGCACACATTGTTCTACACAGAGGAGTCCTCCAAACCTTGAGCCAGTATCACTGCAGCTTTCCTGTTGTGCAGTGCTGGCAGCTGGATATGGAACTAAATCTTGGACTGGCAGATCAAAGGAGCAGTGGTAGAGCACTTGCTTTAGTCCACTCCCAGCATGCAAGCCCCATAGCACACCGCACCTCTCAGACTCCGTCTCACCATTCTGCCAATGACACAGAGCTGTTGTACACCTGGACTGTATGATGTGTCTTCCATATCCGAAGTACACGTGCCAGAGGTCCAAAGGTCCAGCATGTGGATTTCAATTTTGTCTTGAAGGTTAGCATTTGCTTCATTCAGGACTGGACTATATGGGTAGGAAATGAGGATTAGTCACCACGGGATGCAAACAGAATAGGATCACAGATTTTTTTTAATTATTTTGAGTCCTTTATGTCTTACTTTTCCCCTTACCTTCAGAGAACATTTCTCAAATCCCAGTCCCAAGAGCTACAAAGTCATTTTGACAGTTCTTTGAAGTCCAAATTCAGATACCAAGTACCATGAGACTAACTACCATTTAGACTTCTAACACTGACAATACTGTGCTTCTTGGTGACTCTCCTTGGAAGCAGGCCTTCACCAAAACCAGCACAAACTTCCCAAATGCGAAAGACTCAGCATGATTTAGGTAAAGTTGCCTACAGCTTCCCTTGATACCTACCTTTCTGTCCATAACCTATCCTTTGATCTATCTTGAACCTATCTTCTGGGGAGGCCATGCTTGCCTTGATGTGTCATACCAATGTTGGCTTCAAATGCTGTGCCCATAGTACTGAAACACAGAGCTGTGGTGAACTCTTCCAGGAAGAGCCCATTAGCCTTCACTGACCTGTGTTCAGCCACATCAAGAAAGAGGTAACAGTGCCAGAGCCAGCCAATTTAAAGGAGTCTTGGCTTTCTCTATTTAAAGCCATTTCTTTCTGGTCCCTTCCCTACCGCTGCAGAGGAATTCTGGACACTTGTCTACAGGTCTTCTTTGTCCTTGCACACCTCAGCTTGACTTTGACTTCTTACATCCTAGCACAGTTTACTTGGCAAGACCTGAATAAAACACACCATAAAGCTTCTCAGTGTGAGACAGGTGATGCACATGAATACTTCCCCTGCTGCTTTGCACCAGCTTTACTCCACTAGACCAGTTGTTGTGACTAATAAGAGAACACTTCATACTGACAGAGATAGCTATGCTATCACATAGCACTTATTGCAATATTTTCTGCAAAAGGCCATGGTAAGATGTTCATGTCCTTCCTAACTGTCCCTAAGCTTAGTCCATTAAGGAATCACTGAAGAACTCCCTTGTTTTTGCAACTGTAGGTATGCAGACTTTCAGGATATAGTACAGGTTTTCCCTGAGAGTCTGCTTAGATCATAGGGTACTTGCAGTCTCAGGAAATGTATTTCCCAAAAAGAAACAAGGCACAAATGAACTGAAAGAGAGAAGTGTAAATCAGAGAAAGCAGTGAGAATCCCAGATACTTTATTTTTACTCTCTTATTCCCCAAAAAGATAATGGAGGATTTTAATGCCATGGATTTTAGATTTGCTTAATTTGACCTGCTCACCCTGAATGTTTGAAACAGGTTCTGTGATCTATTTTTGACTTGTTCTCATCTGTGTTTTTCAAGAAGAGAAAGACTGGTCAGGTATTTCTAGGCCAGGTATTATATGCTGCAGATTTTAGCCAAACACTGGGAATCTTGAGTTGTTTGCATGCTAGGCATGCCATTCACACATATTTATTACAGCTTTCCCTCTCTGACTGCAGATTTTGCCATACAGCTTATCCTTTGGCTGTTCCTTCATTGAGAGAACTGTGCACCCTTGAGTTCTGCACCATAAACAGAGCCCTAAGAAAAGCCAGTCATATGCAAGAAGTAAAAGCACACAAACACACACATCCTTTTTCTCTAAGCCATTAGGCTGGCTGCAGAACATACAGCAACAGTTTGCTAAGGAGAGTACTGTGCGACTACATACTCAAGAGGGTGGAGTTGTGGTTTGGTGTGAGAACTGTACCTCTTTGTTATGCGACCTAAAGGGGAACAAGGAAGCAAAAGACGTGCTGCTCACCATGCTCTGCCTCCCTCTGGGCCGTGACGTGGCACCCCTGGAACTCCTCTGACACAAAGGAAGCAGCAACAGCCCACACAAGTGGTGCCACGTCCCAAAGTCTGGCCAGCCCTCCTGCAGGTTTGATAATACTTTCCCTACCTTCAGCCATGGATGAACTCAAGAATGACTGCACTCTCAGTTTCTTAAGAGCTTCAGAGCCCTCTGTTTCAGGACAAAACTGGACCTGTCAGCTTCTCAAACACACTATGGATGGAGGAAGGTCTTGGCTGAGTTGGATCCCAGTTGACTAGGTACTAGAGGGAAAGGGAGTTCTGAATCTCAGTCCCTCCCAATGCATATTCAAAATTTCCCATGGTGTCTTTCCACATTTTAAGTACCAAAGTACTTTCAAAAATTTGGCCTCCCTCAGCTGAAATTCAGCAAAACATAGCTGTTAAAAATGGCTTCCAAATTAGGCTGAGAAGAATCCAGCTAGGCCTACTACAAGTTTCTGACTTTCTTCATTGTACTTAACTTGTTCAAACAAAATCTCTTTCAGTCTGCTATGTTCCAGTCTACTCTCTCAGAGGTGATTTATTTTCCTTCTTTGTGAAGTATTTCAGTTTGGCAGTTTTGGGGTAATTGAAACAGAAAGAACAGAACATTTTCAAAAACATTTCAGATACCAGAAAGCCAACACATGAGTAACTGCCAAACATACGAAGCACTAAAACTTTTCAATAGGTTTAATGCCAGGAATTCTTTGAAACTTGTGCACCCTACACAAGCTTTCTAGAAGCATTCATGGCATTTATGAAGATGGATGCCCTGAGGCACTGAGAAAAGAGTCTGCTTTGAAGGCTTAGAAGGGAATTTACCTCAGGACTCTTGGTGCTCAGGTCTGTACTGCACTGAATGTTACTGTAAAATTTGTGAAAGAAATGTCACTTCTACACTACATTTCTGCTTCCTGAACCCCTCCTCTACGGCAGGCTGCTGGCCTCACTTAAAGAAAGGAGTCTGCTAGGGTCCTCACTTGGAATAAAAATATAGTAAGAACAGAACATAAACTAGAACGTCCTTCAGAGCTTTCCTGTCTCTCTGTGGCCCAGACAGGTAAGATCTCATTCAGTTCAGTGGGGTAGTCACAGCTCTGACGGCAGGAGTGTGCCAAAGAGCATTAATAAAAGTGAGCATTATTAACAAAGCAGTTAAATACCACGGGAGGGGTTCAGCTGTCTCACAGTTCTGGGTTTTTACTGGAATACCACATCTTGCTCTTGGAGCAAAAGGAATAGAAGTGTATGGCATGTTCACAGAGCTCCACTGACACAAAAGGACTTTTCTGGTACAGCATCATGTGATTTTGGGTGAACAAAGTGCTGATGTAAGTAGGGATCTCACTTGTTCATCCGGTGAAGTAAAAAAACCCAGCTTCAGTGTGTAAGCAAGCTTTGTCTTTTCTTTGCAGAAGAGTGCCAGCCACACAGCTGGCAAATATATTTGCCAAGAACAAAATGTCCCGCTCTGTCCCCTGTTCATCTCAAACGTAAAGTATGAACACACCTTCAGAGCTGCTCTCACACAGTACAATCTGTGTTGTTCCTCTTGCATTTAATGCAAGAATAGTGACTTGCAAGAAGATGGCTCTGCCTTTTTGCCTTCAAAGGAAAACTTGCTTAATAAATACTCCTTTGAATTTGGCTCTGTATGTTCCCTTCTGTGATGCCCACAAATATTTCTGCTCTATCCATTATATATAGGAAATCTGCATAATTTACCTCTTATTTTCCTACTCCTGGATTTTCAAAGATCTGTTGTAGGTGTAAATCCAGCACATTTCAGATTCAACACATTTCAGATCCTCACTTAGACTCTCATGACAGAATTAGGCCTTTTGGTTTTGGGGCAGTAAAAAATGGTGCTGAAAGCAAGGCTATCCTGTCAATCATAGTTTGCACCAGGAAAAAAATCAAACAACAATCTAAATTTCTCCACAGAGAAGAATCCACTACAATGGGATACAAAGGGTATCTGTTACAGTAGCTTTATGTTTTAGTCTAGCTTACAATCAGAAACAGGCAGGATGTAAAGACAGAGTGCCTGTAGGCAACTGTAGTACAATCCTGAAAATTTTCTCTCATCAATAAAGGGGTTCTTTTCCTGCTATCCTAAATCCCAAATGGACTCCAAGCCTAGGTCTTCAGCTCAAAGACAGCAGTGCTCAACCCTGATTTCAAAACTTCTATCAAAGTCTCCTGATGCAGACCTCTCCAAAAACACCATGTCCCAAGCACTTGGCTCAGGACCACCAAGACTGTAATCTCCACCTCTGAAATATCAAGGAGCAAGGCCCAATTCTATAAAGGTACTTAAGCTCCCACACCCTTCCTACCTTAATACTTGAGGCCACGTGTTTCAAAGTGTCCCTTGCCACCATAAAAGTTAAGCACACACCCAGTCCTACAAGTACACAAACCACCAAACAATAGAATCAAAACCTGACCAAGAAAAAGAAATGGAAAAAAAAACTCTAAAAAGTTCATCCTTGAAAAAAAAAAAAAAAAAGGAAAGAATTTCTGTGATGTGTCATTTCACCAAACAAGTCAACACCAGTAATACAAATATGTTCCTTCTGTTCAACAGGATCCACATCCTGATCCTGCCCCTCCACAGATACAACACTGAGTGGAACATGTTTGCCCTGTGGAGAAGTTACTGTCAAGACAAACAAAGAAGTAATTCAGGTATTTAAATATAGGCATCTGATATAATTTTAAACACCTTTAAGCATTTGTCATGGTTTGAGATAGCCCCAAAATCCAATCCCCTAGTCTAAGTCCCCTCCCACATCTCAACCGAATGTGAGATGGGTTTTTCCAGACAAAACACACCAGACTCCAAATGGGGAAAGGGAATATATTACAATGACTGTACAGATAAATACCATATCACATTATACACACGATCACAATATCTCTACCATGACATATAGTATTTACAATGATCAGATCTCTTCTCCCCTCCGACTTTTTTGTAGACTCCCTTTAGGCACTGGAAGGACACAATTAGGTCACCTCAAAGCCTTCTCTTCTCCAGGCTGAACAATCTCAGTTCTCTCAGCCTTTCCTCCTAGGAGAGGTGCTCCATCCCTCTAATTATCTTGGTGGCCTTTCTCTGGACCTGATCCAGTAGGTCAATGTCCTTCCTGTGCTGAGGAACCCAGAGCTGGACCCCAGAGTTTTCCAG